TCTTTCTAGACCATAGAACATTTTTACAACTAAAGGGGCTCGGTCGCAAGCCCGTACGTATGCTTTCTAATATTCTTTCCGATCTCGGTCCGATTGACTCTCGTATCCATTGAAATTTCTATTGAAATATATTACTGTAGGATTTTCCGTTGGAATATAATAATGTTCTTGTAGTGAAAGAGTAAGTGATAAAAATTATTTAAATTTATTTTTATTAGAAACATTTTTTTAAAAAGTTTTTAGTAAATGTTAAAAAGGTATATTACAATTCTTTTCTAACAATATATTTATTTTATTTTTTAATAAATTATAAAAGATAAATATAACTAACATACAATTCTTCACACTTTCTTTTATTGTAAATTACAGTTTAACTTGATTTTTTTTACATAAAATAATTATTTAATTGAGTAACTTAACAAAATGTGTATATAATAATTGTATTAATTTGTTCATGATAAATGAGATGAAAAAAAAAATATATAATATATTTTACTATATATAAGTGGGAGCAAATGTCTATTTTCACTTAATTTAATGCCAAATTTTATTTTATTATGCTTAAATCTGACATTTTTTACGTAGATTTAATTTGTATAAATAAATAGATTTTTCAATTTATGGTTATCAAAATCAAATTAAAAAAAAATATTAAAATATTCTTTTCTTTCCAAGAAAATAGACAATAATAAAAGAATAGTTTAGATTGCTTTTTTTTTTTTTAATTCGTACTATTTTATAAAGTTGGTAAGGATATATATAAATTGTCACATTATACTAATATTTAAGAGTGTAGGTGGATTAGTATTATTGTAAGCATACTCACATTTTTTCTTATTTTGATAAATTGGATTATGTCTTTTGGTTTGCTTTATTTAATTAAAATAATATTATTTCTAATTATTCTTTCATTCAAATAATATTTAAATTATTTTCAATATTTTTAATGTAATGACGGTAAAAAAATTAGAAAATAAAATAAATACCACTCAATTAGCAATTACATCGTTTACTTTTCCACCCTAAATTGAAATTTATCAACGCCCTTACTTTCCCACCCGATTTTATCTTTATAAAATTATTTTTAATATTTATTTCTCGCATCATATTCATAGTAAACTAATTTTATTATGACATTTCGGCTTTGAGTGAATGAGAGAGATTAATTCGACTTTCAAGTTAAAAAATGTGAAATTACCAAATTTGTCTCATATGATAGGTCCCAAAAGTTGCTAACTTCTTGTACGTGAGCCCTGTTAATTTTAAATTTCATTCAAATAATTTCTTCTCAAATTAAGTCAAACTATTTAATTAAAAAAAGTCAAATTATTTAATTAAAATAGTCAGTTTTCCAATTAAACATCAAAATAATCTGACTTCTCTTCGTGACGAACTTGAAGAACTTTTTTTTAAAAAAAATTGCAGAATTGGTCCAATCTAACGTCTTCACGTGAGCTCCGTCAGTTTTGGCGGACGTGAGACCATTTTTGCAACGAAAAATTAAAAAGGATCATAGATGGCATAGTTGGAACCAAATGTGGGAAACAATCAAAGTTATGGGACCAAATTTACAATTTTCTCTTATATTTTTATTGTGAAATTTCAAAAAACACACATGGCTTGTTCAATTTCCAACTAGGTTGTGAAACAATTTCTTTATGTTTCGCAAGTTACTGATAAATGATCTTCTGTCCATCCATGATGAACCACTCATCCTCGTGCAAAATAACAGAACATATGACTTGTTTAATCAAACATGATTCTCATTCACACGTGAATGTTAACAAAAAAGTCGAGCTTTCAGTATACCCACCAACACCTACCACTTAATATAATTGTTTTGTATATTTTTGTTGTTATGTTATGTGTTTCGAGTGCATTTTGTGTTCGTTTTAGCTTATTTTAGGTTTTTTCTGGTCTATTTAGTCAGTTTTCTCGTTTACGTATTTTTGTGTCGTTTTGGCCTTTTGCGCATTCTATTTCTGTTTTTATTTTGTATTTTTATAGAAAAATGCAATCGATAAGTCAATGAAAAATCCACTGGAAATTGTCAGAAAGTTCGTCCGTGTCGCAGCTCAAAATATTCGCAGGCAGAGACTCTAACAAGGCCTAAAAACCGCACTGCAAACTTGTTTGTTATGTTTTTGTGCTTATTTTCTTGTGTTTATGTGCTTTAGTAGAGTCGTTTTTAGGTTCGTTTGAATGTCATCCGGTCCATTTGGTCGTATTTTATGTGTTTTTGTTTTCGTTGTTGTTTTTGTATTTTGTCGTATTTTCGCGTCTCTTTTGATGTGTTGTTTAGGTCCGCATTATTCGAGTATGGGAAGAGGAGCCATTTTCGAGATATTTCCTTGCCGCCCGAACTATAGTTTAGCCATTGATCGAGCCGTCTAGACCATTCTCGAGTAAAGACGCGAGAGCCTTAGCCTCCATGCACACAAGGCGCGCTCGCTGCGAGGTTTGGCTTGCGACCGGCTAAGTACATCTCTTGATGCCCGGCTAGCTCATGCCACTCGCCGCGAAATTGGAGTCGCGCCCTGCGAAGATGCTGCCCAATAGCTCCCAGGCGCACTAGCCGCGAACGATACTTCGCGCCCCGCGAGATGGCGCGAGCTGCTCTTCACCAAACCAAGCCACTCGCTGCGAGAGTGTTCTCGCGACCCGCCAAACGCCAGGCCAATGCAGCCACCGGAAACTCGCTGCGACCAGGAATTGGCGACCGGCAAAGCGCGCACCATGCACCAAGCTGCCTTCAAACTCGCCAGCGAACCTTCACTCGTGTGCTGCGAAGCGCGCATCCCCAGCACCCAAGGCCGAACTCGCCAGCGAACATCATTTGGCGACCTGCGAACGTGCCCAGCTGCACTACTCCATGGCCAAACTCGTTGCGAACCGCGTTTCGAGACCTGCGAACTTCAGAATTTCATTAAATGTGTATGTTTTTAGTGTGTGTTTGTGGTGTAGCTATAAATAGACATTGTGCTTTGTATTTTTGGAACAACCCCTCATTTCTAAACTTTTAAGTTGGGAAATCCTCTCCATTTTCTCTCTTCTCTCTCTCTCTCTTTTTTTTTTTTTTTATGCTTTGGTTGGGAGGTCCATGACTCAATTTTCCGATGAAATTCCGGCAAGTTTATTTTTATTCAAGTTTCGAGCTTTATTCACTATTTTCGTTCAAGCATGCGATAGGAGAGTAGATACCTAGCTTAGGCCCTTCTACTTCGAGTTTGATTGTCGAATTGTGTGTATGCTCGTTTCTAGATTTTTGCTTTATTTTTATTGCTTGCTTACGTGTGTTAGGAATCTATATGTGCTTATCTTGTGTAGAGATCTCGACTTTGATTAAAGCGTGATGATCTAGTGTGGAAAGTTCGTGCTAGATTACCTAGGATCACTATACTCGCATGTTTTCTCTTTGTTTATTTTCTTTTTCTTGAGTCGTGGAGATTCCGGTCGACCAAAGTTTCGATCTTTCTCTCTATATTTGCATTTTTCATCATTTGCTCTAGATTTTTAGTTTAATTTCATGAAAATCCAATCCCTTCAAGCGAGTAGAATGTGTAGGACCTTATTTTCGGTTATGTGACTTTGACGACTAGATAGTGAACGAAGCTCCGAACAGCCTTCCTTTGAGAACGACCCAAGTCGGGTAGCTCGGTTACCACATGCTCAAAAATACTACAAACAGAACTCACCTTCGCACAGTCTGCGAGTAGCTTGCCCATCTTGCAAGCAAACCTCATCACCTGCTCTAAAACTTGCGCCGCATGGAAATTCCAGTACAGCTCACGAGTTCACCGCACCTCAACCCATCCGCCTGCTCATACTCGCGATGCCAATGGGATTTTTCACATGCGACACGAATTTCCGCCACACATGCCCATTGAACTCACGACCCCAAAGAGTTTAGTTTAGTCGTTCAATCTGCGAGTTTTGTCCTCTCACACAGCGAGCTTTTGTGAGCTCGCGACGCACGCCAAAAGTCCCGGTGCACATGTGAGTTTCTTGCACAAGGCCCGCCTCTATCTGAAATTCGCCCCCCACGCCGATATACTCGCAGAGCCCGTGAGTTCTCGTACCAAGCATCACACGGCCAAGCCGCAACTCGCGTCCTACGAATTTTCTTGTTGATTCCCGCAAGTTTTCGCACATTCTATGCAATGCCAAAACCACACTCGCGCCTCCAGCAAATTTTCCAGATTGCCCCGGAGGTTTTCTCATTAAATGTGTATTTTTTTAGTGTATGTTTTAGCTATTAGTATAAATACATTAGTCTTTTGTATTTGGAATAATTTCTCATTTTGCTAAGTTTTTGTTCTAGTTACTCTTTCACTCTCTCTCTATATATTTTTGTTTTACTATCTAAGAGCTCCAAGACCTAATTTTTATTGTATTATTTCTTTGTAAAGATTGGGACTTTTCGACTTAATTTCTTATCGTGTATGCTACTAGAGACTTGAAAACTTAATTTAAGGTTCAAGATCTCGTAAATTTGTCTTTACTTGATAATTTTCTTAGTGTCGCTACGGAGGACGTGGATCCACTTATTTTACCTTCGGGGCCGCTCATGGGCATGGAGCAGCACAGTCTGCTCTTAGCACTTGTGACCGAAGCTTTTCATTTTTTAGCATCGCTTTCCTCTATGACTTCACTTTGCTTCGCTTTGTTCGTACGGTCTTTTTTTTCGATCAGATTGGCTTTCATTAGGGGATCACTATTTCTTATAGTTAGTCGAGGGTGTAACTGCTCGACCTTTGGGAGATGAGCGAATAGAACAAGGTGAGTAGTTCAGGGCGCTGGTGAGAAGAACATCAGACTAAGTCCGTCGGTCAGAAGACTTTGGTATGAACTTTTATGAATAAAATAGACTAGGAATTATGCGATTTTGTCGTTGATTGCGGGAATTAATTGATAGCTTCATTAGTTGATCGCGAGCCCTTTTGGGTTTGATAAGTTCTAGTTTGTGGGCCAACGATGCTGTTTGGGCCGATCCAAGTTAACACAGCCGGGGGTTCGCCCATTTATTAATTTATTGTTCGCCATTAATATGGCGTATCATACATCACTGGTTCAACATGACGAACAAAAACGCTTCAGCAAATCAATCTGTTGACAGAATAGCACTCGGGATGAAACCCTAATGTGTGAATTTTACATTTAGTTGAAGGTTTTCTTAGGAAGTTGCGTTCTTTATTCTCTAATCGACCTGGTAGGTTTCGATTTTTGAAGATTAAATGTCGGGAACTTCGCGGTCTCGTGTAACCATTACCCTCGGCGGCTCAGGGCAGGTAATCTCGTGTTTTTCACGTTCTTAATTTCTTACACTTTTGGTCTGGGGTTTTAGAATTTATCTATTAGGTGAAGATTTTTTCATGTGATAGCCCGTGGTCGATCCTACACATCTCCTGGTCGTCGTTAAAGGGATTGATTGTATGCCGCTGTAACAATGATAATCAATGAATTGATTGCTCAGCTTTCTAGTAGCTTGGGTTTTTGCATATTCTTATTCCGTTTTTTTTTTTTAAGATGCACAAATTTGGAATGATAGTATAATTTTTCAGCTAGGGGATGTGATACTGCGATTTGCATATACTTTTTACTTCCAACGTATCTTGATTTTCTTTGTGTTTGTGTTGTGGGGGGAGGGAGGTGGCAACTACAGTGTCTACTCACATTATGTGTAGCCTTTAAAAATGGTAGTGCCCTTTTATTGTTACTGAAGTGAATATCATCTATAGGTGGTAAAAAGGGATGGAAGTTCAATACATACTCCTTATATGGAGTCACCTCCACTTGTAGGAAGCAAGAGACCAGTTCAGGAAAGACTTGGAAACAATGCTGATCCATATGCCGATTTCAACTATAAGAGGTTTTTTCGCTTGTTCCTTGTGTCCTTTCTCATTATGGTATAGTTTTATTTATTGGAAATAGCTGAACTCCTCTTACCGAAGTAATATGCTAACCTTTTACTTAGAGATTTGATCTGGTATATGTAACAACCTTTGAATTTGCTTATAATAACGTAAACATGGCCCAAAGTACACATAAGACATAAGGAAAAGTCTTTCGGTTAAATTCTCTCCGCAGATGGGTTTTGTGGTTGGAATTTTTTCTTACTTGTACATAACCTTTATACTTTGTAAGCATATCGTGAATTCTTCTGACAAAAAGGTGAAGGGGTTGATATTAGATGCATTGTATGCTTTATTGATTTTAATTGACTTCACGATGTGTGCAGTTTTAATTACCTATTTGGCATTTATTCACAGAATGGTTCCATGTGGCGGTGTTTCTGGTTTGCAATGAATGATATGTTTCTGAAATTTACCGTATAGTTTACATAATGTTGGGTTTAGTGTAAAAGAAGCAAAACTAAGGGTTTAGTTTTGACAATTGTCAAATAGAGTGGAAAAAATGTTGTTTATCCAATGATGCAAAACACAGCATATAGCCATATACTATCCAAAGTTGTATACATTTTTTTCTGCTGACACTGAGTTATTGATTACTTTTCTGAGGTACCTAGGCAGAATATGAGCTACTTTAACTCACCTAGGAATCTGGAATTATTTAGGCTCACGAAACAATTCACGGCAATGAATTAATGCATGACACTGATGAGCTGCATGTATTTCTAACCCCACTGGATGTGGTTTGTTGGTGAAATGCCTATAATTCATACATTTCCGCTTTTTGCAGATTACGCAATGATGATAGAACTGCCAACTCTGTCGATGGTATCAATCATTCTACATTGCAAAATCTTCATTCTTTCTTATAAATTATTGTCATAACTTTTGCGTTTTGGTGATTTTAATTAACAAAAGACACCTACCTCCGTAAAGATGACCTCCGTTTCAAAATTATGCAAAAGAATCGATCGAAGCAAAGTCAAAGCAGCCAGCCCAATGTGCCAGATCTTCGCAATATCCTGTCAAGGCCCGCTCAATCTTCCACAAATAGTGTAATCACAAGGGACAGGATGCCCGAGTCAAAGGACACAAGACCTCGATATCCAGAACCAACAAGTGACGGCCAGCACCTCAAAGAAACCAGACACCGTCAACCTTTAATTCCTATGGCAAGAAATCCTAGCCTGCATTTATCCGAGATTCGGGCACCCGATCCTAGGAAACAGCACATGTTAGAACCCAGGGAAATTGGACGAACCATTCTTGCGACAAAAGATTTTGGGCATCCTCTGCCCCAGCGGAGGGAATCGATTCCTTTAACCAGAATGGATACAGTCATCAGTAAGCATTCTCCATGGACTTTGGAACGTTTGAGGCAAAGATCACCTGATGAGTCCCTAGCAACTTCTAGAGGTCCTGTAGCACCAAATAGACGTGATATACTGCAAGAAAAACTGGCAGTTAGGGCACATGATGATGTTAGGATGAGCACATGCATTAATAAGGATGCTTCACCTGTTGGACAGATGAAGACTGGCGCACCAGTGTCGGCCCAACTGCCTCAGCCTCGGAATCTCACCCAAAGGAGTCCGTATATGGTCTGTCAGATACTGAAGTTTTTGTCCTTTTTTCTCGTTTGAGTTATTTTCATTTGGTTTATTGCTGCACACATAATACCTTGATAGTTTGTGAAAATCCATTTTCTTGCCATAGCACATTAGGTTTAGAATTGCTAGCATACATAAGAGGCTGCTAGAATGTGCAGGGGTAAATGATGATGGGAAATTGAGTGCCTAAAATCTCAAATATGATGTTCTGAATTAGTTGGATGTATCCATGTTATTGATGATTCATGTCCTTTGAAATCTGTATACTTTGTCTAGACCAATCTATTCATGCTTTGTGTGTATTATGTGAGATGCTCTATTTGGCTCCAAAATCATTTGAACCTTTCGGATGTACCTTGAGAAACAATTTATTAAATTCATGTAACGATTTCTCTCCAGTTGTTAAGATAACTGCATATAGCGCTAAGAAACGTCTAGCATTTCGTTTTGATGTTGCCAGGCATAGAGGGGCGATAGCTATGTCGTGGGATTAATGGATCCTACTAGATGAGTCGTGCAGGCCTATTTGTTTGATATCAAAATTCATCTTCGATAAAGCCTGATCATTATTCATTGCGATCTCAAAATTCTTATCACATATATTGGATGTTCTCAATGTAATAAAATGGCATTATGATTCGTTTGATATCATGTATGTTTCACAAAAAACATTTTTTACCAAACTTTATAGTCTTGTTATGTTTGCAGGGTATTCATGGTTTAAGATAGGTTAGCTCTTTTACGAAATTCTGTGGTTTTATTATGCTTGCAGGTGGACGATCAAGTTACTGTGGACAGCTTTTTGCGTTCATTGGGTCTAGAAAAATATGCTATTCTCTTTAAGGCTGAAGAAGTACGTAAATTTTTTGATTCAATGCTAATTTTGTCTTTGTTGCATAATTCATGAGTCGACCATCTCTCTAAGAAAGTTAAATTTTATATGGAAGTATTTGGAAGAACATGCGCTTTCCT